CTGTCTGTCTGTCACCTGTCTGTCTGTCACCTGTCTGTCTGTCACCTGTCTGTCTGTCCGTCAGGAGGATTACACAAAAACATTGGTGGAAGGATGTGACATCGGCCAATGGGGCAAAGCTTTGACGCTTGCTTTAATTGAGCTTCGACCCAACATTAACATTCGGTTAATAGAGCAATAAAACTCTCAAAATGTATTTTCTAACCATCAAGCAATCATTTCCATTCCACTACACACTCGACAACAAACACAATCCTGTTGATTCATCACGGACGTTGCTAAATGAAAAAGAGTAATACTCCAAGAATCCGGTGACCAATGGGAACCCCGCTGGCGCCAACACGCCCGAGGTTAGAGGTTTCAATTCTCCGTTTAGCCCGACGGACAGCAACACTGCCGGGTTTATAGATTCCCAGGCTTCTCAGCGCAGGCCACCCATGCTTTGAGCACATCAGGGCTGAGAATTAAGGTGCTCGCAGTTATTCTAAGATTATTTATTTTCTAAATTGGACACTGGAATGGGCACTGCAGGAAAAACTTTGACCCCCGGGGACCTTCAGAGAGTCACAAATACTTTCATGTGACAGTCCGAATGGGCTGCTTCAAGTCGAAGTTGCTTTGTGCACACGCATGATGGTTAATAATTCTAACATCTGCGGGCGTACATATCTGGTTATTGAGGAGGGAGAGGGACCTCTACACGCAACACACACACACAGAGCAAAAAGGGGGTCCTGTTACGAGCAGCGCATGCCTCAGATCGGCCCATAAATTCATGTCAGCCTGGAAATAGAACTGTAAATATAGAAGGGCCTGGTCGCGGAGGTGGGAACGAGAGAGGAAAGGGCAGCCTTGTACCGTCTTCGCTCTCTGCCTGATAACCCTGCCTCGCACTCTGCCTAACCCTTTACCACCTCATCGCCACTTGTACGGGACACCAGGGGGGGGGGGAGGGGGAGAAAAGGGCAGGTTCCCACCGTGGTCACTTCCATCTGAAAACCTCAGTTGAGCTCCACAATCTAGTCGGATCTATGTTGTGACATATTTAAATCACTAAACTTTAAGGCACCCCCCAACTTATTCAACTGGAATGGATAAAAACATTTAAGGAGCTGGAATTATTTATAGTATTAGGTGACATCTTTACTCTTTTACTTACTTTTTAAGTGAATCTGCAGCCTTTCAATCATTTCAATCATTTCTAAGAATTATCTGCTTACAGCTTTTTACACATATTTGCTTCTTCTTTTTGGCATAAATGTTATGTTTTTGTTAACCTGGACAGTTGGTTCGAATAAACAAGGAATCTGAAGACATAATTTAGCTGTATAGGAAATCAATACAATTAATCAATCACAGAAATAATCTGCAGTTTAAAGCAAAATGAAAACAATCACTTGTTGCAGCCCTTAAAATCCAAGATATTAAGTCATGTCGTCCTCATAACGTAAAGATGATGTTCCTTTCTGCTTCTTATTCCCTTTTTAATTCAATATTCGCTAAGAACAGTTCTTACACCCAGTTTCCTTGACAGCTGGACAGAAAGCTCCGCTCTCCCTCCTCTGGGTCAAGGATCCAGGTGTGCCTCTATCAGTTCAACACCGCAGCTGAGAGGAAGTGCATTCCTGAGTGATGATGATGCGTTTCCTCTCGGCCCCGCTGTGTGCCTTGACATGCCGCCGCCGCAATTACAGAGCCACATCAAAGGCTGCCTGCCATGACTCAGTATGAACAGGCGCTCGCACACACTCGCCACACACACCTAGATGCAGAGCAGAGACCGTAAACACACTGCAGACACACCAACACGCGCACACGGGGACTGATCACGCTCCCATCGTCCGTCTGTTCCGAGCGTAGGTATCATTAACGTCTCTGAACGTTACCTCGGATTGCGTGAACCGCACACAAACACGAGCGCTTCATGAATCTGCTGGCAGAACACACAGACAGACGGACAAACACACACAATAGGATGTGCTTGAGTGCTTTGAGTGTTGGTTGATCTCCTGTGCGAGCACAAGCACACACACATTCAGCACTGTAGATTAACACACACACACATTATTGCATCTCCGTTCAGCGGTAAACAAATGAGTCAGTCGCTGCTTGCAGAGAATCCTGACTCATGCTCATGCACACACACACATGCGCATACAGCAAGAAAGGATTTGGGGCGGAATGCTGATGAAAGAGAGAGTGACTTAAAAAGGAGTCAAAACATCGACTCGTCGTCCTTGTACACGCCGTCTACGACACCGACTTGCTGACCTGACTGCAGCAGAGAGCGTTCTCCACATCATCCTGCCTCCATTCCTGAATGTCATCACGTCACAACAGTAACAGCTGCTTTAAACTTGGCACCAAACTCAAACCTCAATGCAGAGGACGTGGAAACCTACTGTGCATCTACGTTAACATCCGAACCTTCGCGTCAGAAGAGATTAAGCGACAGGTGAAGGGAAACAGCTGAGAAATTTAAAAAAATATTAAGAGATGAGGAGTTAAAACCAGAAATCTTCGTCATGATAATAAGATCAAATGTTATTGTTTTACAAACTTGTGATGTCAAAAATAAGTCATAAGTATTTAATAAGTTGTATTTAAGAGTTTGATCTGATTTGATGCTTAAACGTCGGAAAGTGGAGCTGAAATTATGAGTTGAATGATCAATCGACGGAGAGGAAAATCCAAATGCAACTATTCTGATAACACAATAATTTAAAATGATATAAACAGCAACACGTGTAACAATCGACTCATTTCCTAAGTAGATTTAGAGCTTTACTTTATCAGATATTACTTAATTGATAAAAAAATAAAACTAATCTGCAACTATTGTGATTATATTATAAAAACACCTTTTGGTTCTTCCTGATTAAATGTGAGGTTTTGCTCAGTTTCTCAACATGTTATAGACTAAAGGATGAATCAATAATGAAAACAATCCCTACAAGCTACAGCCTCAAAGTAAACTCTAAAAGCTTCACTAACCCACCGTCAGCTTCCTGCATCGTTTCATGTGTGTTGCCGTCACACTAACTGCTCCTGCTGGCGCTGGATTCTTCCATGTTTTGCATAAATAAATCTTTTTTTTTTTTTTTCAAAAGTCTCTCAAGTGACAGTAAAAAAAAAAAAAGTTTAAAAACACACAAACACCCACACTTGTGTACACTCCGCCTACAGTACATGCTGACACAAAGAAAACCAGCGGCACATGCTCAGACAGGCTCCAAGAGACTCCAGCAGCTACAAAGACGGGAAGTCGGGGCCTTTTTTTGGGTGATTCAGTCCTAGCTTGACCTCAGATAAACCTCCCATCACTCGGCGGGCTAATCGTCTACCAGCCTGCTAGCGCACACACACAACACACACACAGACACGCACGCACACACACACACACAGACCTCGAGATGAACCGCATATCTGTGCCATTTCCTGTACCAGCACTGTTCATGTCGAGACTTCAGTTCCCTGGACAGATGCCTTCAAAGACAACGGCTGGCTGCTCCACGCGCCTGAACGCAGCCTTGTCAAGATCACAGAGACTTGATCCAAAATAGATTCACTAGAGGAGCTGCAAATTGATACAATGTGACTAATAATAGCGTACAGCACTCAGGGTTATTTTGGATTTCGGTGAGGAAAAAAAGTATCCCTGACGCTCATTCTCTTTTACTCACACATGAAAGCTCATTCTTATGCACACACACAAAGAAAGACACAGTTTTTTCTTGGTTCGCGGGCTGTCTGCTGCCGCTGTGTAACAGATTTTCCTGCCAAATATGATTATGAAAGTAGAAAAGAGAATTTAAACAATGGCTGTCAGAGCAGGCAAACAAATTTTAGCATCACTGAGCTGTGGGTGGCAGTTTCCCAACCTGACAGACACACACACACACACACAGTTGTATTAACTCACCCTTGGTTGTCGTGGAGACTCCGTCAGATTTGGTGAAGTCTATGCTGGCGTAGGCGCTGTTCTCCGGCAGAGGCACAGTCCCCATTGCTGCCGCCGAGCTCCCATTGCTGCTACCACCTCCCGACATCATGGCTCCTACATTACTCCCGTCCTCCCTCAGCTCCAAGGCGATGTAGTTCAGGCCGTTCTGGTAGCCAACAGACATGTTTCTGCACATCCGTCCGGCCACAGCTCCCGAGGAGGAGGCAGAGGCTGAGGTCCCGGCCGTTGTCCCCATTTCCATGGCTCTTGTTGGAGCGTGGTGAGCCGGCGAGTCTCCTACACCCTCCACAGACATCCACACACTGTCGAAAGACGCTGAACTGGCCCACCTGGAAGCTTGACCCTCAGCTAGGTAAGATCCGTTAGAGGCTGTGGGGTTCGCTGTGGGGTGGGTGGCTGAGGATGAGGGTCCAAGTCCTCCTCCAGGGGGAGTTGAATTAGAGGAGGAAGTGGAGGAGAATGTCTCTGAGCTGTGTCTCCTCCTGCCCTGGGGATCAGCTCGAACCACCTTAGGCTCCAGCTGCTGTGTTGGCGTCCTACCTGGACTTGACGGGGGGAGAGGAGGGGAAATGGATGAGGGGGAGGCAGAGGAGGCATGGCCGTAACGTCCCTCTATTACACAGAGGTGCTGCAGCATGGCTGTGGGGCTTGTTTGCGTCCTATCACCTCTGCTGAGGTTAAATGTCATGTCTGTATAGTCGTCACCCATTGACCTCCAGTGACCTCCAGCAGGGACTCCAGGGGAGGCCAGTGCCCCAGGATTGCTAGCAAGGGGTCTGATATAGCTGGGCGGGTTCCATGGGGCGACGAGGCTGGGCCTGGGGGACTGGTTCTTACCCAGACATCCTGCACTGTCCTGCTGATCTGCCTCCACCTCTACACTCATGTAGTCCTGGTGAGTTTGGGGCTGTGGAGGAGAGTGGCGGTGGTCAATGGATCCCAGGGAAGGTGATTCATCTTGGGCAGAGAGAGGATAGGCAGGGGGCTGTTGTTGGTGGGGGTAGTGATCCTCAAACTCTATGTTGATATATTCTCCAGGACTGGATGGCCCTTCAGATGAGCAAGCAGTGGCAGGGACTGACGCTGAGGTTCCTGAAGACACTGTGGAGGGCTCACTAACCCGCAGTGGACCGTGGAAACTCCTTCTACCTAAAGGGAGGCGGTTAGGCCTCACCACGCGTCTGTCGGCCATCGCTGCTGTCGTGTGATGAGCTCCATAAGGCGGCGGTGGATGAGAGGGGGTTGAGGTGCTACTTCCTCCCCCGCCCCTCTTCTCTGGTGTTGACATTGAGGCTGTGGCAACTGATGAAAAGACTGGCTTAGCAGGAGAACTCATAGGAACATACTCCCCACACTCTTTCTCATCCCTCTCTCTTGTGGGGGCTTTGTAGGAGCGAGGGAGGGAGAAATAAGGGCTGTAAGACTTTGGGGTGCTCTCAGGGGTAAAATATCCACTGCTCCCTTCGTTTGAGAGCTTGCGCCCTCCACTGCTGCTGTACGACATGTCCATATATTCCCCGTTCTCAGGTCTCTCTGCTATACTGTCACTTGCACTGGCACCTGCCACACTGGAGCTACTGTGAGGGCTGGGGGAGGCCTGCACTGGAGAAGGGGAGCTGCCGCTGCCACCTGGGAGCATCATCATATAACCGTGGGAGTCTGTGGAGGACTGGGGCTGGAGCTGGGGGTGGGGGTGGGCTGAACGGGCACCTAAAGCTGGGCTGTGAAACTGAGGGGAATGGGAGACATGATGGGAGTAAGAGCTGGGTTGCATAGGCATGTAGTCAGGGGGCGTGTCCCGTGGTGAAGCTGCGACGCCGCACATCATGGGCATGTAACCGCTGTCTTCCTTGGCAGAGGAGGAGGAGAGAGGAGGACGCTCACTGCCGGCCTCCGTCCGGGAGAGCGTGGAGGGGCGGCTCTGTTGGCTGTGCTCGGAGCAGGAACTGTAGTCAGAGCGGAGCGAGGAAGAGGAGGAGGAAGGCCCACCACGGAGCAGCCCGCTGCCAAATGGCAACACCACGTCTGACTCCTCATCCAATGAAAAGTTGGTCTGGGTCATTTTCTGGTAAACTGCCACTCCAGAACCACCGGTTGCTCCCCCTGCAGGTCTGGTGAAAGAATGCGTCCTCCTCCGCAGCGATGACGACGAAGAAAAGCGATCTTCCTCTGCCGCTGATGAGCCCTCATCCCGAGGCGTGTCACCTCCACTGTTGTTTCCAGACCCCACACTGGTGCCGAAGACCTCCCGGTTCCAGCCCATGGCCATGTAATCATTTAGGCAGTTCTCCTCTCTGATTGGTGGGGTGTTGCCGAGGGAGTCTGGTGTGTTACTCCGCACTCGGAAGTATCGGAAATCACCAGGGCTTGAGCCATACTCATCTGAGGAGTTGAAGCCGCCATCAGACGGGGAGCCACATATCGAGGCACTTGATGGGCGTGTGAGTGTGTCTGACACCGAGCCATGGCCGCTGCTGGAGGAGACGCTCACTGGGCTGGTGGTGGAGGGGAAGTGGGAGACGGGGAGGGAAGCGGAGCGGGCGTGGTAGTTGGATGATGACCCTGGGATGGCTCTTACATAGCGTCCAGCGCCGGTGCTCGTACCAGCGTTTCCTGTGGCGACACCAACACTGCTGCCCCCGCCACCCTCCTGACGATGATGGGCACGTGCTGAGTTGAGGTGAACCAGACTTCCTGTGGCAGAGCGGAACGGCCGGTTCATTGTCCCCTCACCCTCACTGGATGTGCGGAAACGATAACCGCTAGCCCCGGAGCTCTTACTGGAAGGTGGCGTGCCCACGACTGACTCCGTTCTCGACCGCCGCTGCAGCCCGGTCTGACTTGGTGGCAGGTTGCCCAGGTGGCGCCGCGTCGTGATGAACGGCATGGGGTTGGAGCCCGAGGACTGGCTCTTACTCCTCGGCCGAAACTCTGCAAAAGCTTTCAGGGCTTTCATCGTCTCCAGGATGGTCTCGTGCATGTTTTGGGCCACGACGGAATCATCCACCTGCATCCATATCTCCCCGGGCCCGATTGAGGAGGAGCGACCCACCTCGATGAAAAAGAAGCTTTCTGAATGTCCACAGCGCCTGATGTTCATCAGCTGGAGGTTCACACAAGGGGTTTCAGAGTTCAACTTGACGAGGTGAATGGTTTTCGTTGAGAGGCATAGCCGGTAAACACCTGTGAGGTTTTTCGTTTGACCCAGTCCTTTGGGTTTCACATTCACCTGCCACACCTCCTTGAACACAGTACCAGGAGTGACTGTACCGTATCCATCATCCAGATCATCCGAGTCCAGGTGTCCTTTTTTACCCTCGCTCATCAGCTCACTGACAGCCACGTACCAGTCCTCCTGCTCCAGCTCGTTTTCAGCCACAATAGCAAAGTACTCGTCCTTGGTGTAAAGAGCAATGAGGTGTTTGTTTTTGGAATCCGCCCTCTTGTTTACGGTGAAGCACTGGTAGAGGTAAATAACCCTCTTCGGGGGAGAAGGGGCCACCGCTCCGCCGCCGCTGGCTACGGCCGCAGCCGCGGAGCGCAGGCTGTTCCTGAATTTCTTCTCGCTGTCATAGTACTCCAGGCGGCTGGGGCCGAGGTGACTGGCCGCCCGGAGCACGAAGAACCTCTTGTGTCCGTGTTTCTGCTTTCTCAAATAGCCACATTTGCGAATATCATCCACAACGTCCGAGGTATTAGCGACACTCACCGCCGCGTATACATGGCTGCTGCTGCTGCTGCTGCTGCTGCTAGCGGCGGGGTCCTCGGCCGTGTGCGCCTGGCTGAGGGTCGACGAGGAGGAGGCTTTCCTGCCCGGGGACTCCGCGATGTTTTCCCCGGTAGGATGCTGCTGCTGCTGCGGGGCCAGCTGGTAGTGATGGTGATCCTTTGGCGGGTGGTGGTGGCTGAGGTGGTGATGGTGGAGGTGGTTGGAGGGCGGTAGATGGA